AATGGTGCTGGTATAACTGGATGTCAACATGTTGAAGACTAAATAAATCCATATCTGTTGCCATTTACAAAACACAAGTCCAAGTGGCTCAAAGACCTCAGCATGAATCCAGTTACACTGAACCTGATAGAAGAGAAAGTAGAAAGTAGTCTTGAAGTCATTGGCATATGAAACCACTTTCTAAATATAACAACAGTAGCACAGACACAGAGTGTGACAGTTAATAAATAGGACCTTCTGAAACTGAGAAACTTCTGAAAGGCAAAAAACATGGTCAATAAGAAAAAATCCACAACCCACAGAATGGGAAAAGATTTTCACCAACCCCACATCAGACAGAGGGCTGATCTCCAGAATATATAAAGAACTCAAGAAATTACACATCAAAATACCCAAGAGTCCAATTAAAAAATGGGCTATAGAGCTAAACAGAGAATTCTCAACAGAAGATTCTCAAATTACTGAAAGACATTTAAGGAATTGCTCAACATTCTTAGTCATCGGGGAAATGCAAATCAAAATGACTCTGAGATATCACCTTAAATCAGTCATAATGGCTAATATCAAAAATACTGAAGACAGCTTATGTTGGAGAGGATGTAGAGCAAGGAGAAAACTCCTCCACTCTTAGTGGGAATACAAACTCATACAGGGACTTTGGAAATTAGTATAGTGGTTTCTCAGACAATTAGGAATTGATCTTCCACAACACCCAGCTATATAACTCTTGGGCATATACCCAAGGAAACCTCAATAATACCACAAGGGCACATGCACAACTATGCTCATAGCAGCGTTATTTGTGATGGACAGAACCTGGAAACAACCAAGATGCCCTTCAACTGAAGAATGGATAAATAAAATGTGTTACATATACACAATGGATTACTACTCAACAAAGAAAAAAAATGACATCATGAGGTTTGCAGGCAAATGGATAGAACTAGAAAAAGATCGTTCTGCATGAGGTAACCCAGACTCAGAAAGAGAAACAGGGTAAGTACTCAATCATAAGTGGATGCTAGATATAAAGCAAAAAATAACCAGACTGCAACTCACAGTTCACTTCCACTCAACCAAGCAAACCTTCCAAATGGGAATAGCAAGAGTGAGAAGAAAATATTAATAGCTGGACTCAATATATATTACATGAATTCTAGTAAGTCACCAAAACCATTCATGTGCTTCTATTAAAATCCACAGTAGGCGCAGGTGGCATTTATTTGTTATTAGATTAGCCAGATAATAATTAGAATTCTGAGACTGGAACAGGCAAACACAACTATATATTTAGGATCAAACATGTTGATTTCTACCTTCCCTCTCCATCTTCTTTGCTTTTAGAATCTGAAAGTGGTTAATCAATAAAGAATACCTAGTTGGTGAGTCATTCCAAATGGCAAAGAACACAGTCATGCACAACATTTGGTAATAGTATGAAGAGAAGTGTTAATTTTTTTTACCATGTGAAGTGATTTTCTGCTCTAAAGCAACATTTTCAGCATTTTTATAAGTTTAGGATCAGATTACTCTGTTCCCAGAAAGAGATGTTCACCAGGAAGGCATGTGCAGCTTAGCTCATATAAATTCTAGCTTATTACCATATTACCATCATCAAGAAACATGCAAAATAGGCAAATAGAATGTTCCACTTATGAAGGAAGTGATTTTATAAGTCATGCCTTGTGACAGCACCCATTTCCATGGTGCATCCCAACCCATCTTTCTCTAGGTAGAAGAAATTGACATGCAGAGAGGCTAAACTGCCGAAGACATAACCAAGAATTTCCTGGGGGTTCCTGCTGTCCTGTCCTGGTTTTGCAATCTGTTCCTCACACCTGTATTCTAAACCTGTACCTGTGGTTATTTCAGTTCCTAGCCCAAGATCTTGTTCTCCTTGGATAGCATTCGATGTAGCTCAAAATGGCCTGTTACAGGTCCTAGGAGAAGGACAATATCAAAGTGACTTTTCACATCTGATAAGGTCTATTTACCTTTGAAAGAAGAAATTCAATAAAGATCTGTTTACAGAAACCTTAATGAAGAAGCACCGAAGTTAGAAGGATACAAAGAAGATTTCACAGGTATGTGTGTACATCAACCCTGGAGTTAATCTCCAACCTAAGGTAACTATTAGATACATTGGCAGTCATTACTTATACCCCCTGCATACCTGGAATTTAAGGAGTTACTTTGCTCATAGCTTTAAGGAGCTTCTTCTGACCTTCAAGGAAGAACATAGCATAAGATTGAAATTCATAGTCAAGGCAGTGAATTCAAATCCAATTCTCCATATCTGAAAATTTCAATGGTCAGGAAATTCAAAGAAAATTTCATTCATAGAAGTGAACCTTGTTGTATATAACACTTTAGAAGAATTTAGCATAGTACTTGATATGGCAAGACAATATCAGGGGACATTTGTTGACAGGGTGAAGTGGTTTGTGAGTCTATGGATGTCTCATTTTCTTTGTAAAACTGTGACAGGGAAACACAAATTGGGTTCAGGAGGAATTAGAATCTCTTGTTCTGAGACAGATATGGTGCTGTTGATCATTTCATGAAATGCACATCCCACTGACTTATGAAAAACCCTCTGTCATAGAGTGATTTTTTAATATCTTTATTACACTGAGTTACCAGGCACAGTAACTTACAATGGGAAAAATTTAGCATAGCCCACAATTCCAGGTAATAGTTCCATTCTTGGGAAATCAAGTTAGGAACTTAGGTAAACATATCACATCCACAGCCAAGAGCAGAAATAAACAAATGTACCCAAGCTGCCTGTTTGTTTATGCATATGCTCAAGGTTCTTCATACTTATACAGTGCATGTTGCAGACAATGAAATGATTCTGCCCATTTTAGGCATTCTTATCTCAATTAACAATTAATAAAATCCCATAGAGACCTGCTCAAAGTAAATGTGATCTATATAATTTCTCATTGATGGTCCCTCTTCCCAGGTGACTAGTTTGATTCAGTCTGATAATAAAAACTAAGATTGCTGGGCTGTGGTGATGCATGCCTTTAATCCCAGCACTCTGGAGGCAGATGCAGGCAGATCTCTGTGAGTTCAAGGCCAGCCTGTTCCCCGAAGTGAGTTCCAGGAAGGGTTCCACAGTTACACAGAGAAACTTGTCTCAAAACTAAGAATCACACTGCCCCATCATCATTGCCATGCTTTGAGGAGATTTCTGCCTGCATTCAGAGCTGTGGTCCTCAACCAGTGTGGGTCACACCCATTGGGGGTCGCATATCAGATATAATGCATATCAAATATTTGAATTATGATTCATAACAGTAGCAAAATTAGGGCTGGAGAGATGGCTCAGAGGTTAAAAGCACTGCTTGCTCTTCCAAAGATCCTGAGTTCAATTCCCAACAACCACATGATGACTGACAACCATCTGTAATGAGATCTGGTGCCCTCTCCTGGCCTGCAGGGATATGTGCAGGCAGAATACTGTATACATAATAAATAAATAAATCTAAAAAAAATAGCAAAATAAAAGTTAAGAAACAATGAAAGAGTGATGTTTAGGGCTCACCACAACACAAGGAACTACTGTTCATGCTATTTAAAGATTTAAAGGGTCAGAGAATTGGAAAAAAAATAACCATTGATCTAGAGTGTCCAGTGGAACCCGAGTGTCTATGTTGCTAACTTTGAAGAAGCTTGCAAAAGATTTTCCTGAATATCCTTTGCTCTAAGGGAAACTCATATTCTATATGGAAGACTCCAGATGTCTGGCCACCTTTACTAGCCAGTAACAGCAGATCACTTTAAGCTACTCAACAGAGAGGACAAAATCTACTACACAGATGCTGATGACACAGATTTTAGTCACACTGAGCTCGATGACCATATCACTCTCCTACGGGTACTTGTTCTGAGGATGTTTCAGCTGCTTCCTCTAGTATAACTCTGCCTAGCTGTTTCCTGTAGAGTCTTTACCAGGAAGTTGTTTAACAAGTGTCCTTCACAGTGAGCATTAAGTCTATAATATCTTGCCGGGCGTTGGTGGCGCACGCCTTTAATCCCAGCACTCGGGAGGCAGAGCCAGGCGGATCTCTGTGAGTTCGAGGCCAGCCTGGACTACCAAGTGAGCT